GGGTGGGTGAGGTCAGATTCTTGAGTCAGGGACTGTCCTTCTGAGGTGTGCAAGGTGCCTGTCAGAGGAAGGATGCTTCTGCCAGGCTGGTACTGGGCTTTCTGTCAGCTCCAGCACGGAGAGAGCAGCTAGCAGGGGGCTGAGGGGGCTGAGCTTGAGCTCAGAGATGTTCTGCCTCATCCCCACGGCGGTGGGGAGGTGGTGACAGTCTGTGGGACCCTTGGTGTGCAGTGGCAGAGCACAGTGGCAGTGCCCCACACGATGGGACGTGGTGAGGGCTGTGGTGGTGCTGGGTGCTGGAAAGGTCCCCTGGCCTCTGCTGAGCTGGGCAACACCTTCATGCTTCACGATGGGCAGAAGCAACGGTGTTAAAATGAGCCTGGAGCTGCAAAGAGTGGCAAACTACTTCTGCCAGAGCTCTGCTGATCCATCCGGGTGGTGAAGCAGGAGCTCCCCTTCCTTGCACAGGACCCCGGGGTCCTGCACCTGGACCTGGGCCCCTCAGCACTGCCCTGGGCCCAGCTCTGCTGCAGCAGCAGCACGGCACCAGTCCCCCGGCGCGCTCAGAGGAGGGCTCTGCGCCTTTCTGCCTGGGCTGCCCGGTCCAAGGGGCTCACAGGAGCAGCTCAGGGGCCGTGTCGGGTGCCCTCCCTCTCCCAGAGCTCCAGGAATAAATTCCCCCAGTCCATCCCAGCGCACTGTATCCATCTTGTTTAAGAGACTGGCAGGCTGGGCGCGTGGCGGGGAGTGGCGGGGTGATGGATTGCGCCTTCCCGGAGCCGAGCGGCCTTGATGGAGGATGAAATATTTATGATTTATTCCAGCTAATAAACCAGAGTGGAGCGGGTGACGCAGGGGAGCAGGTGGGGGAGCTGGAGGTGCCGGGTGTGCTGCGTGGGGACGGGGAGGGGGTCGTGTCCCTGGCAGGGATGCAGCCCCCAGGCCCTGGCCCACCCGGGTGGGTGCTTGGCCGCGGCGGGGACAGACCCTCTCATTCCTGCAGCATGTGGAATTCCCACATGAAACCCATCCTCATGGTTTTCCACCCCACCTCTCCTCCCAGGAGTTTTCTTGAGCACCAGCAGTGGGAAGAAATCATTTCTCTGAGCACTGGGCATGGGGCTGGGGAAGCCAGGCAGAGCAGCTGCAGGAGCGTCATTGACACGCTCCACAGCTCCCCGCTCCCTCTGTGTCTGTGTAACCCCCCAAAAAAATCATTCCCGTGGCTTTAGGGGACCAGCAGGACACCAGAGTGCCCTGTGGAGAACTTGAAAGCTGTGAAAAGAGGTGCTCATCCACTTGAGGTGTGACGGGCACGTGGAGCACGTTGCTGCCGAGGGTCAGGCGTGGTGGTCGGGCTGGGATGGGGCATCTCTGGGGCCAGCTGCTGGCCCAGGGCACCTGGTCTGTGGGCACAAAATGCAGTGCTGAAAGCCAGGAGGACCCGTGGGCAGCTGTGGCCCCGTGGCTGCCTTTGAGTAGGCATGGTGGCCACCACGAGTGGGCCAGGGTGGCCATCACAAGCCTCACCTGGACACCCGCGTGCCCCATTCAGCCCCAGTGCGTGCTGGTGGCATCTGCTGGGACTGAGACTTGCTCCTGCAAAGCCCCTGTCAGGCAAAGGGGGGATTGAGCCCCCAGGTTTTTGCTCTGCTCTCCAAACTGCTGAGAGGATCAGGACCAGGGCTCAGGCTCTTCACCACCTGCCCACATGGACCAGTCCTGCCTGGAAAATAAATCATCGTCTTCATCACCAATGTGATTAAAGACACCAGTCTTCTGTCTGTCTGCTGGAGGGTGAGCTCTTCCTCAGCCAGGAGCATCAACAGCCGTTTTAGGGGAGCAGGGGCCAGGTAAGAGTTAATCCTGGGGTAGAGCAGAGAGGCTGCAGGCTCTTCACCACCTGCCCACATGGACCAGTCCTGCCTGGAAAATAAATCATCGTCTTCATCACCAATGTGATTAAAGACACCAGTCTTCTGTCTGTCTGCTGGAGGGTGAGCTCTTCCTCAGCCAGGAGCATCAACAGCCGTTTTAGGGGAGCAGGGGCCAGGTAAGAGTTAATCCTGGGGTAGAGCAGAGAGGCTGCACACCCTCCTGCCCCCTTTTTCCCAGCGAGGCCGCTTCCAGCCCGACGCTGTCCTGCCAGATGTTCCCCTTTCTGCCTAATTACCCTCTGGATCCTTGTGCTCCGAGATCCTCGGCTGAAAGGCACTGGAGAAGGGCAGAGATGGATTATTCCAGCAGCCTCCCTGCGAGCTTCCCAGGGCTCTGCCAGCTGGGAGCCTGCCCGTCCCCCCGGGCCAGGGAGCGGCAGCTCCCCGGGGAATGGGTGCTGGGGAGGAATCCAGGAGGGTGGGCACCTCGCTCCATGCCTCATCTCTGGAAAGGAGGGATCCTCGTGCCAGGAGAGCAGCTGGCAGCAGGGGATCCCTCCTGGAGTTTGGGGAAAAAAAAAACACCTCAAAAGCTCCTGGGAGAGCAGGTGTTGAGCCCGGCGGGAGCGGAGCATTGGCAGCACCACGGCAGCTGGTGGCACGGAGCTGGGAGCAGCTGTACTGGCAGGGCAAGGGGAGCCTGGGCTCTGGTTTGGGTGGGGAGGAGTACCCCTGTCCTCCTGAACCCCTGGACCCACATCAGCAGCTGCCCCACAGAGTGACTGGTGCTGGCTTGGGGTTGGTTTTCCACTCAGTGCTGGTTTTGTACTCAGCACTGGGGAGGCTGCACTTCTAATATCATGTTCAATTTTGTGTCCCACACACCAGGGAGGACATTCAGGGGCTGGAGCGTGGCCAGAGAAGGGCAACAAAGCTGGGGAAGGGTCTAGAGCCCAAGTGTGGGGAGGAGCAGCTGAGGGAGCTCAAGTCGTGCCAGGTTTTCCTGCCCACCTCTGCTTTCTCAGAGCTTCTCCAAGCTGCTCAGCAATTTGATTCCCCAGCCAAAGTGTTCTTTTGGTCAATAGCTGATTCAAATATTTGCTCACGACACCTTTGATGTGGAAACATCGCCACGTTTGCCAGGAACAAGCTGACCTCTGAGCCAGGGTGCTGGCAGAGGAGCTGCAGGGCAGGTTTGCTCTTGGGAGCAAAGAGGTTCTTGTTCAGCACGTCCTGGGAGAGCAGCTCAGGCACAGGGTTGGTCCCCGGGAGATCTCTGCACTCTGCAGAGGAGGGGCAGGGACAAAGGGCAGAACCACAAGGGCCCTCTCACCTTTGCAGCAAGGGTTATGCAGCTTGCAGGACCTCACTGCAGAGATCTCTGGAGTTTGGGTTTGGAAAGAGGGACTCCGTGGCAGCCTGTCTGCTTTGCAGAGCTCACTGGGTCAGGGCACACATCTGGGTTAACAGCTGGACTCGGGGATCTTAAAGGTCTCTTCTAACCAAAGCAATTCCATGGTTCTGAACAGTCCAGAGTTTTAGCTGTTGCTAAGAAGTCAAGGACTTTTCAACGTCCCAAGTCTTGCTGGTGTGTAGGTGCAGCAGCAGCTGGGAGGGACCGTGGCCAAGGCAACAGCCCCAGCTTGGCCAGTGGAATATTCTGTGTCCTACAAGGTCATACTCAGTATATATCTATCTGGATGAGGGTTGGCTGGGAAGCTGGGGCACTTCCAGGACTGAGGTTTGGGGATTTTCTCCTCTGGGAACAGGCTGGGCCTTGGTCAGTGGGTGGTGAGCAATCCCATTGTCCATCACTCATTTCTGTGTTCTATTAATGCTATTATTGTTATTTTATTTTGTTTCAGTGACTAAATTGTTTTTCTCTCAACCTACACTTTCAATGCCTTTACCCCTCCAGTTCTCTCCCCAGTTCCCTGGGAGGGTGGAGGGTGGAGGAGGAGCTGCTGGTGTTTGGCTGCTGGCTGGCTTTAAACCACAACTTCAGGATCTGCAGACAGCCCTTCCCTGTAAACAGCTCTCATCCAAAAGCCTCATTTTTAAAACAAAGGTAGCCTGGAAATGGTCTTTTATGGCAGCTGGTGGTGTGGTTCATGCCAGCCTGTGGTCTCCAGGGGCTGAACCGTGGGTCAGCATGGTGTGGTACCCTGATGGAGATGTCCACAGCTTGCTTTGAGGTGCTGTATGGGCAGCTCTTGGCAGCTCCTCACTGCCTGGAGCCACTCGTGCCAACCTGCTGCCTGTTCTATAGATATATGTGGCACTGGCCCAGGTTGCCCAGGGCAGTGGGGAGTCCCCATAGAATCACAGAGTCACCCTGGTTGAAAAGGACCTCTAAGATCATCCAGTCCAACCTTCATCCCAACATCTCCCTAACCACTCGACCATAGCCTCAAGTGCTACATCTACTCAATATTTGAACTCCTCCAGGGGTGATGACTCCACCAGCTCCCTGGGCAGCCTGGGCCAATGCCTCACCACTCTCTCCGTGAAGAAATTCTTCCTAATATCCAGTCCAGGAGCCCTCCATCCCGGGAGGGGTTTCCAAGCCGTGGAGATGTGGTGCTGAGAGACATGGGTCAGTGGGGAACCTGGCAGTGCTGGGGTACAGTTGGACTCGATGAGCTTAAAAGTCTCTTCCAACCCAAACACCAGGTCAGATGGAGCTTTGAGCAACCTGGCCTGGTGGGAGCTGTCTCTGCCTGTGGCAGAGGGTTGAAACTAGATGATCTTTAAGGTCTCTCCCAACCTAATCCCTTCTATGACTTTATACATCTCTATAGAACGGTCTGAGGCTCCAGCAAAGCGCAGCCCCCGACGCCCCGCGGGCACAGGAGCCTGCTCAGTATTCCACTCACCAGAGCCCTTCACATTTCACAGAGCAGATGCCCACTGAGCATCTTGAAACAAATCCAAAGGTAGGAGGGCTGGCTGCTGGCAGGGAAACAACAACCCCCCCCCGGCCTCAGCAGCCCCAGCTGCACACAGCACCCGGGCTGGGCCACGAGCCACCAAGGCTTCTGCCACAGGCTGCTTTGTCTGGTGGAAGGAGCCCGGCTGGAGGTGACCTGGGCGAGCAGAGGTGGAGATGTGGTGGCAGAGACCATGATCTCCTCGTCAGCCAAAATCCCTGCTGCCCGTGGCTCCGTGCTGGGCATCCTGCCTGGTCCAAACTACCCCCATGTGGGGACGAGCCAGGCGGGCAGCAGCCTGCGCAGTGAGTCTCCTTCAAAAAACACATTTCGTAGTTGGCAGCAGCACTTCTCTGAGCACGGGGCAATTCTCTGTGGGCAGCTGTGAGCAGACCCTGGCCGTGCTCCTGCCAGAGCCAGGGAGGCAAGGAACAGCCAGGCAGGGCTGCTGGTGGTGGCCAGGCAAGGATGCTGGTGGTGGCCAGGGAGGGATGCTGATGGTGGCCAGGCAGGGCTGCTGGTGGTGGCCAGGCAAGGATGCTGGTGGTGGCCAGG